CGTTTCCTCTTCCAGTTTTTACCTGCAAAATGTCACGAGTAGCTGGGGTTTTGGCTGCCAAGAGAACAGCGAAATGATGTTTGTTCCACCAAAAACTACCGAGAAATTTTGCAATCTATTTATAGCTGTCTTTGCAATATCAATGTCAGCATCACCTGAAGGTAATTATCCCGTTTTTATACAGCTGCGTCATCAGCAGGTTCATCAGCTGATTCTTAATAAGACAGTTGACTAGCAAATCCTCTTGTTTTACTTGAATTTCACTTTCCAAGCTGATTTCGATGTCAACAAATCTATTGAGCCGATACTGAAGACTCTGTTCAGCTGGTTTTTTGTTGCGTCAGTGTACCTCAAAAACCATTCCATAACCTCTTTCATTATGATGGATCTTCAGAAATTTAACCACAAATGGTTGCTACAGTTGTCTCTATTTGCTAAACAACTTTGTGGTTTAGGAATCCCCAACAAGAAAGAATTCTAAGATACCTGATTCACTTTCCTCATTAATTTCCTTAAACAATGTGTATGCACCAAACAATGTGTATATGCACCAGAAGCAAAATTTTTACAAAAACAAGGTAAAAATGAGTTTTATTTTAGATATCTCTCGATATTAACTAGCGTATATCTCAAAAACCATTGCCAAGATATAATCTCGGAGATAATTGAAAAATTAAAAAATTGGAATCTACCCCCCTACCCCCCTTTCCCCCACCTGCCAGGGGGGAAAACTCTCAGTATGTTTACTCTTAAAGAAGCTCTCATGTCAAACTTCCGCATAGTTCATGCGGTCATTGACTGGACTATTTTCATTCTAAGAGTTCCATCATTTTTTTCTGTTCTGTTCCCACCCTTGTCGATAGTCGAAAGTAAAAGTTTTGATGTAAAAAGTGGTTCCATCAGACATCAAATTGATAGAATACCGGGACGTTTCAAAAGTATAGCCGGGTACATTTTCATCTTTCCAGGATCAAGCCTATAAATCATTACCATTCATTCCTCTTGTGGCATCATTGTGCATTCCACATACTGCTATCCTCTCACTTGCACTTTATTATAATTCCATCGACGTGATTCGATGCCATATTCAGAACAAATTGTTATTTCCTTGTACATTGTTCGGGTCACCCAAATGGTATGACTGTGACAAATTGACCTTCGTCGTGCAACTCGACTGTTGAATAGAATTCCTAACGAGGATTTAACTCGGGTTGATTTGTGATGTCGCTGGTGGGTCATATCAATTATTAATTATTGAAATATCAGTTTAAAAACCGAGACATCAGTTATAGACTTAGTTGTAGAAACAGACATAGTGTTGAACCGTTTATCCATGGGCAGCAAGCAATGAAATTAGTCAGATTTTACTGCTTGATCAGCAACTGCTATAAAGTTCAAACGTTCAAATGATTATGAGCAGTACTGCCGTTTGTCATATTAATCAAAAGTAACACCACAAGACCTCAAAATTGAATCGATAAATTTCCATTTTTCAACGAAAACATTGTTTGAAAGCTATTTTTCGGATTTTTTGGCCGTGATTTGCCGGTTTTTATGCCTGACGTTTCGTCTACTACTGCAGTAAACATTATCCATGGCGGTGTGGTGACGGTGGCAGTGCCCGAGTTTTATACTCGAGTTGTCTTTCCCGTTGTTCCCAACGCAGAAACTATGATGCCTTTTATGTTTCGGGATTTGGCAATCCTAGTGTTGCAATCTGGCAACTGACAGCTCTATCGTGAAGTTGGACATTTTTTAGCTTATACGTACTGAGAACGTTTTGACATACGCGCGCCATTTGTGTTGTTTACAGTAACTTTTAAAGATTCATCTCAGCCCAAAAATGGAATTAAATCGTGAACATTTTCGTGCGATTATGTTTACAACATTCGACGTGACTTAACTCAACAACAGTGCATGGATGAACTTAATTCAATTTTTGACGATGAAGCTCCATCAAGGACCAGTGTTTATCGATGGTATGGTAAATTCAATCGTAGTCGTAGTTCACTTCAAGACGAATTTCCTCAAGGTCGTCCAAAATCATTGATGCTGTGCGCGAACTGATATTGCAAGATCGCCATGCATAAACATTTGACTGTCAAAAAAAATTTGTTCGCGTTGGATCCCACACAATTTGTTAATCGCTCACAAAAGGGTTGTGTCGATTGGTCGAAGGAAATGCTCAAAATGCTCAGTCGACTGTATGGGTATTTCAAGATGAGCCAAATCCAACAACAGTTGTTACCCACGAAGCACTTCCAAGAAAATGGTCGCTTGTTTTTTCGGAAAAACTGGACATGTCGCAACCGTACCACTAGAATAACGCAGAACAGTCAATTCTGAGTGGTACACAACCATTTGTTTGCTAGTTGTCTTCCAAGAAATCAGGAAAACCAACCGCCGAAGACCGATCACTCTTCACCACGACAATGCGAGCTCTCACACATCGGCTCAAACAACTGCATTTTTGATCACCCAAACCATCGATTTGACTTGTCATCCGCCGTATAGTCCAGACATGGCACCGAATGACTTCTTTTTATTCCCGCACGTAAAAAACAAACTGAGAGGTCAACGTTTTTCGACACCTGAAGAAGAAGGGGTTGCTGCATTAAGAATGTATGTTTTGGAGATACCTCAATCACAGTGGCATAAGTGCTTCGACAATTGGTTCAAACGCATGCAAAAGTGTATAGATCTTCATGGGGATTATTTTGAAAAACAATAAAGTGATTTTTGATGAGAAAATATTCTGAGAAAATATCAGTATTTCGAAAATGATGGAGCTCCGTCACATCGCAGAACTATTTGTAGAAATTTTCTCAATACGACCATGCCAGGACGATGGATGGGAAACAATGGTCCTATTAAATGACCACCACGTTCGCCTGACCCGACTCTTCTGGACAATTCATTGTGGGGCTTCATTAAAGACAAGATATTCGGCTCAAATTCTGGCAATATTGACGAATTGAAAGAAACAATAAGGAGAGCTTGCATAACTAAACAAATGCTAGAAAATTGACATAAAAATACTAATTGCAAGAGCGAATATGTGTTTAAGTAAACGATGGACTTTCAATCAGATATCGTAAACGATGTAGATGCTTAGGAATATTTTGACTTTTTTCTGTTTGCTACTTGGTATATAACAAGTTCTTCCGATATGTGGAGCTTGGAGATCAGGACCCAAAAAATATTGCTCCCAATTTTTTTGAGGTAGTTATGACCGGGAATTGTATGACCATAAGGTGATGATGTGAGAAACGTCGAGAAATATAAATATGCATTGTAATACGTAGCTGAACTCGTTTGCTGTAGCTACAAAAAGCGATGAAAAAAATAGAGGTCCATATTCAAAAAAATTAAGTTGATGTTGAAATCTAATGAATGAAACGACGCATTGCAAATTGGTTCACATTACATTATAACACATATGAAACAGTATTGAAAGTTTCCTGGCTTTTTTTATATCATTCAAAATGGAGGTGATAGAGCCATAAAATAAAATTCGACGATTTTAGTTTTTGGCGAATATTTCAAAAACACCGACTGATATTCCCGATCTGAAAAGAGATTATTCTAGTTGCCCAAAATAGAAAATTTTATCGAACTTGTCTTTTTCTCTTTATTTCATATTCCAGAGTTATATATACATACATCAATTCTATTCAATACTGTTTAAATTTCAAACCAGAATATTTTACCATGATGCAAGCTTCCATAAGAATACAAGAATCGAATGTAGTTAGGTACATCAGGTAGTACTCTCATTAACTCAATTACACTTGAATATTACTAAAGTTTTATCCCAATACCAAACCGTTATTTTAACACCTCGACACATGTTTCGATCACCAAGTAATAATCTTCAAGAGGAAGATTAAACAGTTCAAAATAACGGTTTGGTGTTGGGATAAAACTTCAGTAATATTCATTACTACACCAAAGCTTCCAAACTGTGCATCACAAGTCAGTTCCACTTAAGAAAAATTAAGGACCGGAATGTTAGAAGCAGAATCAATGACTGCAAGTTCAGCGCCTTCCACTCATGTAGCAGATACCCTTTTGGAAAGGAGTATAAAAAAATTCCAGCCATCCCTTTCAATATCAGAGATGATTTATCTAGATTATTCATGACTTGCTCCATCAATAATAATTCTTAACATCAAATCTTCAGCTTGATAAATAACAATTAGCCTAAAATTGTTGTTTGAAAATGAATATTAAAATCCAAAGTGATTCTGCTAACTAAATGGGGAAGCTCAAATGACTTTAAGCTCAGAATTTTTCTAGAGGGACTTTCAGAGTCTACAAAACAAACTAAACCATTATCCAAAAGTAAACGAGGGGCTCCCGTTTTCTTTTTTTTTTTTTGAGGTTTTTGAGATAAAGATTGAAATTTCGTTCTAACAGTACAAAACTAGTGAAATGAATAAATATAGTCATTATATTAAAATATTATATTGCTTCATACGAACTGATATCAAAGAAAATGGGATTTTAATTTATGTTGAGGGTTAGGAAAGCTTCCGCCTCCCTGTAAAAAAAAAACAGAAAAAAATTTGGGTGATAAACAAATATATTTTCTAATATTTGAAAATGGTTTCTTAAGTAGGGTATTTTCATGTTATCTTAGAGGTGAATCATTTTCAAAAGTTAAAACTGTATTTATTCCATGCTTTCCTCAATACTGAGGAACATACATTAAACATACATACAGAATTCTTATTAAACATTTTCATTTTTTATTTTTTTGGAACTGAAAAATAGGTACTATACTGTTAAAAACATATATTTTGTAATATAAAACATTATAGAAGAACATGGTTCAGTATCTGTATGTTATAACTGTGAATGAACATAATCACAACAATAAAAACATTGAGAAATGCAGGTCAAATACCAATGATGAGTTAAAGCGCCATAACATCAAATATTCACAACTACTCAATTGAGAATATTTTTCATCGATAAAAGGAAAAAAAAATACTTACGTTTAGCGGCAGAGAGTAAATCTTTCACCTCTTTGATGATTCTTTTGATATGTTGATTAGTTTTCTCAAGTTCCCTCTCATGCTTATGCAGATTTTCTCGAAAAAACGGACTATCGTTCAAACACTCTGTGAATTCCAAAGGAGGCAAAATAACCCCCATATTGATATTCTCACACACACTCAGCATCCATGAATAGGAACAGTTCCAAAGTTACGTATACACGACACTTCACAAGTATTTTAATACACGATTACAAATAATTAGTTATGAAAGTTCAGCAAAGAACGTCACTCGCGTACACAGGATTCTTGACTCTCGGACTGATGAAAACATGAAGTAAAAAAACAACCTGTAGGAATTGAACGTAGACTTGCGCAATAAGGTGATAAACGTCAAACAACAAAGATAATTCTTCCTTCATCATCCGTATACCGATGACATGTTTGAAGAGTATGCAACTCAACATACGCCGCTAGTCACAATAATAACCAAACCAATAAACCATTTGGATTTTTGATTTTCCAAGTACCCATCCAGTCATCTAGTAAACACATAAATCGTCAACACTGTTGACTTTGAACTGGGGAATTTTCAAATTGATTTCAAGTTAAATTATCTGTCTGATTGGTCCAATTTTTTTCCTGTTATACACTGAAATGATTTATCAAAACTCACCTCCTGTTTGTCTATTACTATTAATTATTTCATTCACAAATTTTTGATTTCGCACATGCTTCTTTTAAATTATTTGTTAACGTACATGATTTAATCGTTAAATATATAACTTTTCAACGACTCTCAATATGTTTTATATTATATTGATAAAAAATGGTTTTATCTATACTTTCCATTACCTAAAAAATATATTTATTACCACTTTCTAACTTTTCTTGATTGCAAACTCTTTTGGAAATTATATACTCATATGATTCGTCTCAAAATTCTAATTTAGACCATGAATTTGCAAAATGTCATCTTAACAAAAAAGGGAAGTTTGCTCGTAAAAAGTATTTGGAAAATAATTGGTATCTACCCGAAATTTTTCATTGAAATTTTTCAATTCAATTGCAGATATGTTGAACGAATTTCAATCCTTTTTTTAAATTTTTATTGTCATAAATCCCAGCACCTTAATTTTTTGTTGAAAAATAGAATAGAATAAGTGCATCACATACAAATAAAGAATGACCCCTTCGGCATTAAAAAGCAAGACACTTCCAAAAAGTCCAGTGAAATTATCTCAAATATGTGTCTTTGGGTTTTAATTACTATACTATTAGTGTACTATTAAAGTACTATACTATTAGAGGAAAGATTCTAATGACGTCTGAAACATCACAATTATCGTTGTGAAATGACAAATATGTTTGAACTGGGTCATCCTTTTAATGTGTATGATTTTCACCCAGACCAAAACAAAAAAAACACCTCTTACAGAAGAGACACTCTTCTAGCGGCACTTTCATGTTGACATGTAAAGAGGGAGTCTCGTGGTAGCTTTGGTAGTGGACGGACGTGCTGATAACGTCCGTCCACAAAGAAGGCACCGGATGCCATATGCTATCGTGGGACTCCGTTTTGTGTTGTGCTAGTCCATTGAATAAATATTGAAATGTGTGAGAGAGTAAAAAAAGTGAAGTTTTAGGGCCCCTTTATTTACGCCGGTATCCAGGCCGGGTGGTTCGGATAACCACGTATGTGAATTTAAAAATCCGAAGGTCTCCCGAAGAGGAGGCGACTCAATAAATATATGTAAAAAAAATCAGGTCTCCTGAGCAGGAGGCGACAATAAAAAAATAATGTGTTTTTTATTATAAAAAGTATGACAAAAAAGGGGTGGCAGCATTGCTTCGAGCAAGACCGCTGTGCCTCTCCGACGAAGCTTCTGTCAAATTGACGTCAATTTGATAGGAGGAGAATGGACAAATGCGCCCGAGTGGGAAGCAACGTCCATTAATTTAGAGAGAGAGAGAGACATGTAAAGAGTCTGTGATCTATATTTTTTCTTAGAGGTGTTTAATGTTACTTTTAGCGGTGATTCAAATTATTTTAAATTTATAGGAAATATTATGTTATTACTATTGAGAAATTAACATCGAAATAATTGTGTGTTCACGATATTATTTGAACATCACAGATCAAAAAATTGCAACAAAAATTCAGGTCCATTTTTGAAATTTCAAAGTTGAGGGCGAAATAGTTGAAAATAAATTTTGGCATCAAACGATATTAATTTTCTGTTATCAGGAAGAGTTACGTTTCAAATATGAATCGTTGATTGATATGATTATTTATACTAAATCCTTGAAATTGGTATGGGTTTCAATTTATTTCATGAGCATTTCTGAAATTTTTACGAGCTGTTACAAACGATACCATAGGTCTAGTCGTGAAATTGGTTTTATGTAATTCAATAAGAGAATACAGTTTGTATGGTTGTTAATGTATTATCACTGCCTGCATTTTTCACTTCCATTCAACTCTGGTACAGAGTTGTAGGATCATTCTTCAAAATATCGTGTCTTCCTGAAGTAAGAAAATATAGAGTTTTGTCTATGTAGTCATTTTATCGAACGCAATAACCTTTAGACTTTTATCTGCTCTCGTAAAAATTTAAATAAGCATGTTTCATCACAGTTAGCACTACGGATCAGTTGTTTAACCGTTTGATGTCACCATTTGTTGAAGACATTAGCGCCCCAGTTGATAGAAAGTTTTCTTTATAAACGAGAAACAGAAGACAGGAGACACAATACCGAACACCTGTTCTCTGACAGGAGTAACACGACAACAGGACAACAGTGTTTAAGTGTTTAATATTACGGAATCTGGGATCCTAAACACATTTTAAAAATAAAAGTAAACAGGCAACTCATTCTCTGTGCTTATATTTTGTTGTGGTTTGACTGTTTTCTTGTGTCAACAAAAACGAATAATGAGGCTTTGTTAGTAGCCCAGAGTTGGGCTGTTTTGTCCGTCACCCAAATAGTCTTAACGATGAATTTCCCAACGGAAATAATAGAAGAAATTTTATTAAGGTGTGACGGAAAAACTCTTCTAAATGCAAGAAAAGTTAGTGATAATTGGAGAAGCATAGTGGATTATTTATCCCAAGTAGGTTAAATATATGTCTTTCTACTTCTAAAGTAGTAATGTGATCATAATATGGAAAGAACAGAATTTAAAAAATACTAGTGAACACTGCTAGGCAATACATCTCATCTACAAATGATTCTTTCGGATGCAAGCCAGAAGAAATTGTTTAAATAACTAATTCCTTACGAATATCAAATCAGAAAGAAATCACTTGATTTCTGAATTGTCAACTCTTTGTTTTAAATAAAGGAGTTATGTTTTGAAACCTTGCTAACTAAAACTATAAAATACTGTTGCACTGGGTCTAATTGGAGTTTAAAACATACTTGTGTAAAAAGAGTATACTCTTTCATTTCCCAGATACCAGTTTGATTCTAGCAGACACGCAGAATTCAAATCATTCTGATGACTGTTGTGGAGAGATACTTACGCATAGAAAATAAATATTAAGAATAGGATTCCTATTTAGAGAAGATATGGTAAATACCTCTAAGAAAACAACTACTTTCTTGGCCAATACCACGACAGACATTGGATCATGTTTTTGCCATTTTTTTCACAGAAGAAATTCTCATAGAAGCTTCTTGTTCGTCTAAGAGACCTCTTTGTTTGTGGTCATTAGCCGCGTCAGCGCACTGCAACTAAGTGTGAGAATGGGCAACACTTGTTTGCCAAGAACTAGATACATCCTCGAGTAGAATTTGTACTTGTGCATAAGATCCTTTTTTTAATAATTTGAAAATGTAACGTTTTTTATCAAAATTTAGACATCCTTTACCAATTTTTCATAAATGTATTGTACCAATGCTCAAACGTGCCTAATATTTTACATAATCATCGTATGAAACATCCTCAATTTCCGTAAGCTTGGACAAACTTTAGACTACTTTTTCATTTGCTGCACACAATCTGTCTTGGATCATATTGAACCTAGAGAATGTTTTCAACATTTTCAAAAGATGCTTTTGGTGACAGACAGAGTCTAAAGCAAGCAAATGTTTTTTTCCAAGCAATTCCTCCAGAAAATATTTTTATTTTATTTAGAGAACGAAGATATGGAAATGGTGTTGTTTCGAGGAAATTCCCAAACACCAGCTAATAGAGTATTTACAAAACTACAAACATAATGATGATAAAAAATGGTTGAATATTTATATCAATTGGTGTTCATGGGAAAATTTGAATCAAGTTGTATGTGATATGATTTTGAGTCCCGTGGAAGTACCGAGGATATCCTGCATTGCAGTTTCTGGAGACTTTATAGCAGTCGGATCTCATGATGGGAGACTAAGAATATTCACTACAAACTGGAAGGTGATTTTTTGTGCTCGAATTTTGGCAGTTAAAATAAATAGTTTAACTTTCATCAAAGGTGTGAGTATAAATGATTTAAATTTACACTGTTTACCTGGGAATGTTTCAGGTGACGAAGAGGAACCCGAAAATGATTTATGCCTTGCGATTTCATATAATAGGGGTCTTCATATATTTTACTTTGATGGGATTAACAAAAATCAGTTGGTGATTCATGATGTTAAGTCTCATAGGTTGGTAGGAAAATTAGAAATTTTATTTCAAAATGGATCAGTTTTTCATTGTCAGAAACACTCGTCATATGGTCTTCTTGATTGAAACATTGACAAAACAATATAATTTCAACGAGTTGTATCTATCTTGATGTGTTCCTTATTATTTTTGTAGTGTTTATAAAAACTACATTTGTTATGAAAAACTGGGTGGAAGAGTGACTATAGCCAAACTAACAGGAAATCATGGAAGGAAAGATCTATCTGAAATATGGTTCTCAAGGATATATTCCCCCTCTTGTTTATCCTGCATGAAAATGTGGGATGGCGTGTGTACTTTTTTGATAAATAATGAAGTCAAAGTTATTCAGTATGCAGGCAACGAGATCACTCCTATGGATTTGATGACAAAGAAAACCAGGATCAAATTTAACTTTCCATTAGTAGAAAGTAATAATACACAAATTTTGAGGGATGATATAATTATTTGTTTATGTAAGTTTGTGTTGTTTACTAGATTTTTCACTACATCTTTAATATACTCTAACTGTTTATGGATTACCCTAACTTTTCAGTGTTTGTCAGTGCTTCATTTCAGACACGTTTTCTTTAAAATACATAATATCAGAGACATAATAAAATTAATTTTCTAATATAAGAAGTTCAAGTCCTTCAATCAAACTCCAGCAGTTTTATATTCGTAAATTTGTACCTATTAATAATTAATAATTGTTATTGAACAAAATTACAATTTTGCTCAACTGACTACTGACCGAAGTCCTTCCGCCCGTGTAACAAAATTGCTTTGAAATAACAGTTTATTTTACAATATCAAAAAAAAAAAATATATGGATATAAAAATGAACAAACAAAACAATTTCATTGATAAAATTGTGTTAATTTTTCTAACAGTGTTTCTGTTGGGTGTCGATGTCATACTCTTGCATGGAGGTTTCTTGTCACAGCATACTTTCTAATGATTTCTACATAATCGTCTTTTCCAGCAAACTTTTGAGTAAGTGACAGTAGTCTTTCCTTGATAGGGATAATACTAGTGAGTTGGTACAGCAGAGGGTTTGGAGGGTTGTGTTTAGGGTTATTGGAATGCCTTAATCTTGTTATTTTCCTCATAGTCGTTGTTTTAGATACTTTAATTGTTTTCATGGTAAATTTGTTTTTACTAATTTTGGTGTATAATATGTCACTTCCAAATTGTTGCAGATATCAAAACTTCGTACTTTTTTAAGTGTTACTTACTTCGCTAGTCCCATAAAAACTTTTCCTACCTGATTATTGGAATAATTATCATGTAATTATTTTCGTTCATTCATTGTAACAATATGTAAATCGTGATTAAGAAAGTAAATATTTCAAAATATTCATCTGTGCCAACTACCTGCACCATAGTTTCCGGTAAATACTTGCTGAAAAACAAAAACTTCCCCGGCTAATACCTCGCCGGATATTGAATTACATCGAGAGACATTTATGCAAGATACCTCACAGAGGTTAGTCTCGCAGATGTTTCTCGTTGAAAAAAAAAGTTTTATTGACATAGTTGAATTTCTCATTGTATTGACATGGAATTTGATGTTTCAACTGGTTCTTCAAGAGGTAGTCGAAATTTTACAAAATTCTACAATAGCAGGCAAATAATAGGAATAAATTTGTTTAACATTTATTTCAATGACTTCAATAAATGAGGTTTTTATTCCAGCAGCTAATCATATGCTGATGATGGTCTGTTGAAACTTTTGATCTATATGTACTATGTCAACAGTTGTACTTCTGAATTATTTTGTTTGTATGAATATGAAAATATGAACGTTAATGATTTACTGAATATGTTTTTACTCATTCAGTAGATTTTTTTTTAGGTAAAAATGAAGATGATGTGAAATGTGACTTCATTGAAATTTTTTTGTTAGAGAAAAATAAATACTGCAAGAAAATGTTCACCACTTGGTCGATATTTAGGTGCTACATAACCTGCATTTATCTCTATGGAAATACATTGATTCTAGGAATGGATGTTGGTAACGTAAGTGTCAATTATTTTGATTCTCAACATCTGAATGGTGCTAGTGTTTTCATTTTGGTTGTTTCATATTTTTGAGGTCAGAGGAAAGTTCATAATTTATCTTTGAAGAATTCGGAAATCAGATTTGTTATTTGTAATTTAGTTGTCTTTAAAATTGTGTTAGTTAGAACATTTTACCAAAATTAATGTCCATTTAAAATATATAGACTTTGATTTTTTTCACGAAGATGAAGTTACCCACTGGAATTTAAATAAAGAAATGTTCTCTTACAGTGGATCCAAGAAATATTTTTCCCAGAAGTTCTAAGAAATAACTTTATTTTGATTCTCAATTCAGAAACTCTTCAAAACATGGGCAATATTATCTATATTGTTTAAATTTTTTTTTTTTGAAGAATATAAAAAATGTAATGTTGAATATACATGTTACATGGTGAAAATCAATCATGAACAAAAAATAAGCTTTTTTCCCATAGAATTCGTAGCGTATTAAAAAAAATCCTCTTATAATTATTGATATAGAAGCACCTTCATTTCGACCGAGATAATCCCGATTTTTGTAACCTTTGACTTTGAATCACTTTCGACGCACACACGAGATATTTTGAATCTTTTGAGACAACTTTCAGAACACCAAAATGAAGGTGTATGCGAGTTTACAGCTTATCTCTCATTCTGAGATGAAACCCATACTTGGAAAAGTACTTTTTAATGATAGTAATAATTCGTATTCTTATAATGTATGGTGCCAAAACTACAAAAAACTTGTATGATTTCCGATATTAACATTTTATAACATTAGCTTCAAAGAACTAGATCACAGTGTTTTCAGAAATATACTGAAGTTACAATTTGATCCTGAAGGGTACTCGACTGAGATAAAAGAGAACTATTGTTAGTTCATTTGCTAGGAAAGGGGCATTATGTTTACCTGCAAAAAATGTTCAGGTATTTACAACCTAACTTAAATTCCTGCGAATATCTACCTGCTGGTTTCATAATTCAGAATTTGATTGTCATTTTGTATATCTCTGAAAAAATTACACAAACTCAGTTCGTTACCTGCGACAGAGGATGTAGCAAAATAACATATATTAGTGTTGACTTTCATGATCAACAGTAAGTATAAAAATAATGGTAAAAAGATAACTATTTGAAATCAATCAAAATAAGGACAGAATCCTATATCTAGGCGGTTCTTGGTTATGTCCTTAAATTCAGGAAACATTATGTGTATATCGAATTGAAAGATACCCTAAATTATCCATGATAATAGCTTCCTCGGTACCGAGGCAGCTACTGTGTTAGCGAAACACGTGTAGAAATTAAAATGTTTGTAAAAAATATGTAATTATTATCATGGATAGTGTTAATAATTTTCATCAAGTAACGGGTCAGTCCATTCATAATTATTCACTAAATTGTTCAAAATGAAAATGTGATTAGATATATTTAAAAAGTGTCTTTTTCCTCAGCTGTGCCTTTTACAAATTTATATTTGATTATTAGGTTTTGAACACCCCAATTTCTAATTTCACTTGAAATACCATCGAAATCAAATAAATGCAATTCTGACTGTATTTTTCAATTAATATATTTAATATTATTTTTCAGGTCTACATTTATCATGTTTCATCCTGGAAAAACTTTGATTTAAGGGAATATAGTCACAAACTGATTATAGGTAAACATCCTATAATAAGTATAGATGTTAGAGAGACAGCTAACGAACGAAGATTCTATGTGTCTTCAAAGTTCAACATACACGAAATATCTGGATTTCTACCAAATGTCTACTAGTGATCATAAATGCACTTATCTAATTTATTTCTGTTAACGTAGATTTTATATTTTTTTAAGGAGATTTTATTGTGCCATGTAACATTATGAATGTTTTTTATTGTACTTCTAAAAGGCAAGAAGCTCATAAAGTTCGAAATAATGGAGCTTCAACCCTCAGTTGTTCAAAAGCTAGTTTTGTAAGTATAATCGAGTTCTAAAAAAATATTATTTTCTAATAATTGAATAATTTTGAAGATTGTATTGAAGTTCTGGTTGAAAACCAATTCAATATGTTCTCAAATTTGATTTTATTGAAATTAAATTATAAGATGTTTTATGTCTTTCATATTTTCTCATTCACATATTCATTTTTTTTTGCCAGTATTATTTGAAAGTAGACTAATTGTGATTTTTTTTTCATGAAGTTAGATATGAAATATGGGATTGAATCAAATATAAATATTTCAAATACATAATTGTGTTTCTTTAAAACGTGGAACTGAAAACAAAACTATCTTAGCTGGGACTAAGTATATTGAGGGAAATTTCGTTAAAACAACTGTTCACCTAATTTTCTTTACAGTTGGTTAATATTAGTTGATTAAATACTTTTTCGTTTTCCCTAGGTTTTCACTATTACAAAATAACAATTTTCAAGAAAAACCTAGCATCCATTATTTGTCAGTCTGTTGCTTGTATATGTGATGAAATCGGCCGATACTTGATGAAAATCCATACGATCAACTTTAGAAAGTTTGATTTGCCACCAAATTCTCGACAGAATCGATGATCTTATTCGGAGTTTTCAATAACTAAACTGTTTCTCCCTCAAGTTGTTTTGTCACACAATCAAGAAATACTTTTTTGTGAGATTTTCACTACACACTTCACAAAACTGCAACACGTGTTTCGCTATACAATAGCGTCTTCAAGCGTGTCTATACTAACAGTTAGTATAGCTAGCACACTAACAGTTAGTATAACTAGTATAGCAACTAACAATATAGACATCTGTTGCGGTTTTGTAAACGAGTATACTAACAGTTAGCATAACTAGAATACTAATAGCTAGTATAACTGGCATAAAAAACTAACAGTTAGTATAGACACCCCTGAAGAAGCTATTGTATAGCGAAACACGTGTTGCGGTTTTGAAAACTGTAGTGAAAATCTATACGTTATGGATTTTCATCAAGTACCTATCGGCCGATCCTATCACATATGTGTAACACATTATATACATAATGTGTAAAACTATCTAGTGAAAATCACACAATAAAGTGTTTTTAGAATACGTTAGTTATGGATTTTCATTAAGTATTGACCGATTCCATCATATATACATAATGCATTGAATATTTGCGATACTGGATAACTTGAAATAGAAGTTCAGAATTAATTGATGAAGCTACTAATAGTGGATTCAAATAATCGATAAAAAATATTACAACTTATCTTTTCCTCTCAAAATGAAAGCATCCACTCATCTATCCCATCATTTGCACTTTGACGAGAGTACTTCTGATGAGACCTACCCTATTTTTCAAATAGCCCCTCAGAAAAAAGTTCAATGGGTTTATGTCGGGTAATCTCGCTGGCCATTATAGTGGTCAATGTTTCTGAATCCACTTATTAGGAAAAACTACAAAATTTACACAGAATGGTCTCCTCTAAAATCTGATGTGAAAAATGGTTCTCCGTTGGTGCTAAAGTGTTCTTGAAATTGATTGCACATGGATATGCAAATGTTATTGGGTGAAAACTCTAAGGCCACAAAAAACTAGAATTGATCAGAATATCTCCGATAAGTATAAGTATTTTCAGTAGCTCATCATCACAATTTCAAATATCTCATAAAAAGTATGAGCAATGAACAGATATAAAGATCCTATTCCAAACAATGATCTGTTCACTAGTTTATAATTGGCGGAAACTTGTCGGCTGATTGCAATCTAAAAATTAAAATTAATTCGTGACTGAAAGTAAAATAGTCCCGAACTGATAGGATATTGAAGTAGTTCGCAAGGCAGTGTCTAGGGTGTACAAAGAGATCTTGATATGAAACCTGCCTTTCCGCAAGAACTTCATACACTTAACCAGATTGTTTGAAGGTGATTGACAATGTTTCATGATGAATTTCACTAGTTCGAACTTCCATTGTCTACTATATAAAATGATTTGAAATCCCTGAAACAACTAAAAAAGAAAGAAGAATTGAAATGAATAACTGAAAATAACAATTATATTAACCAAAATAAATCTGAAATGAAATAATAGTGAAATAAAATACAAGTAAAAATAGAACAATTGAATAATAAAAAAAATAAAGAAATGAAAAAAGAAAATAAAAATAAAAAGTGGAGAGATTTCAAGTCACGTTAGTTCACGACTTTTCGATTGTTAGTATTTACAATTGTCTGAGGGTGATGACTGGACTGATTCCTCCGAGAGATGACTATTTCTAGGTCGTTCGAGTACTTTCCGCTTCACTGGTTCCGTGGGAGATAACCGTTTTGGCGGGAGTTGGCCATTTTTCACTTGATGATAGGTTTCCATATGTTGCGTATTTCTACACTGGCTTGGCTGAATACGTTGTTGGACAACATGTATGCGGCTTCCTTGAATTTTCTCCTAAACCAATGTTCCTCTTTGTGCAAGATCTCAGCTTGGGACCACTCGATGTTGTGTTGATGAGTCCAAACATGGTCTGCTATTTCTGATTTGCTGGTTTCCCGGTGCTCGGCAATGCGAACATTCAATGGCCCCTTAGTTTCACCAATATAGGATTTTCCGCACTCACAGGGTATCCGGTAAATGCAATTCTTGGAATCGCAGTCCGCGTTTGGTGGCCTGGTTTTCGTGAGGCTGCTACGGATAGTGTTACCGGATCTGAAGCAGGTTCTGATGTACTTGGAACCAATTCTTCTTATCCTCTCTGATAATCCTCTGATGTAGGGAAGTGCAAGCACTGGTTGTGACGGCTTCTCTTCCTTGCGAGGCTCCTGCTTCTTCTAGCCAAAGTCTTTTCTACCATCGCTTTGGAGTAGCCATTCCGTTGAAGATCATTTTTGATGATGTCTAGTTCCTTCTCGAGACCTTCCTTCGTATTACAGAGCCCAAAAGCACGGTCAAATATAGTCTTGATGATTCCTCCTTTAGTCGATTGATGGTGGTTGGATTCGTGGTTCAGATACTGTCCCTTATGAGTGGGTTTTCGCTATACAGATGTTTCCCACTTAGTGTCGGTCCTCTTCACCAAAACGTCTAAGAATGGCAATTCATTGTGGATTTCCTTCTCCATTGTGAAATTGATGGAAGGTCTCAAGCTGTTGATGTGTTTCAGGAAGGCGTCTAGTTCAGTATTCCCATGGTTCCATATTATGAAGGTAACATAAACATATCTCAACCAGACACAAGGATTCTTGTGGGCTTCTTCAATGGCCAGAGTTTCAAACCACTCCATATATATGTTATATGTTGCCATATATATGTTGGCAGGGATTTCAAATCATTCTATATAGTAGACAATGGAAGTCCGAACTAGTGAAACTTAACCAGATTCTAAAGCAGTTGAATATCAATCAGGTATTCAGAGTTTGTCAGAATCACACTCATATACCATCTGATCTGAAAGATCACTCACCATATAAACCAATTGGCTTAGTTAAAAAGCAGGGTTTATTTAGTTGAGTTTTATTAGGTGTGAGCCACAATAAACCCTTGTGGGTTGCGTTGGACGGTCGAATAGACCCACTCACTTTTTACATAACCTATATTACTCTTTTTTGGAAATTTGTGTACATAAAAATAAAAATGTAGTCGTTTTGAATCTTGTTTCACTAACCTTACAGCCTGTAGATAGTTATACAAAACCTGAAAAGTTTTTATTACATCTTACCAGTTCTCTATTTTGTTAAATAGTTTTTGAAATGAAACGCCATTGAAACATTTCTTTTCATTTATTATAATCAGTCATAATATAGCATGAAATATTTACAAGCAGCAAATTGTTTTTTGTAAATAGTTATCAATATATGGTATAAGAAAATCAGCTCGGTGAGAGGTTTTGTACATTTAAAATTAAAACAGATCTCTGAAAAAGACAATAAAATCACACACAACAAGGCACTAATTCAATTTCTTCCACATGTTTTTCTCATTCAAACTAATTTGAATGAATGTGTCTTTTTCAGAGTGCTTCATTGAAAATAACACAGGCTAACAATTTTCAGAACACAGACCAAACTATACTTTCCAGGAGATTTTTCAAACACCTGCATTTCAAAATACCCAAACTCAAGGGTAAAAAATATTTTTTTACATTCAGGGTTATCCTATCATCAATTAGATAATTGAGTTTATCAACGCGCTAATATGCCAATGGTCAAGTAATGAAAAACATCTAGTTCATGAGCTGCCCACGAAAACGCCGGTCTAAGGGTGGTCACAACATCTCTATATTTCTTTCCAATGGAAAGGAATTCTTAGAGCAGTGTGGAGACTCACAGCATTTGATGGTGATGTTTAATGGCATTTGGAGTTTAGTTTTCAGGTCATGGAGTTTGAGTTGAGGTTCGGAATGATGAGTCAAGGGTTTTAAGAAATTAGTGGATTTTGGATTTCATGTAAAATTACCAAAATCTAATGTACCTTCAAACAAACATTTTTATTTTCAAACAACTAAACATGTTTTGTGGGATTAATTTTCAAAGTAATATATCCAATATCGAATCTAGCTACAAACTTTTTTTACCTTTAGGTTGAAGTATCCCAAAATGTTGATATGGGAGAGAAAATCTGAGGTTACATTGGGATTTAGTGTAATAAAAACCTTGAGGATGATATAGAATGGTCTTAAGTTCAGGACTAATTTAGTCAATGTGTAAAATTCACTTCTATCTTGATAATCAACATTTTTATTTTTCAATCTTTCGGTTTCGAATATATTGGAAATCAAAGAATGGAATTGATTCGATTCACTCAAATATAAATTCAATACCTATAAATAACTGTCAATACCAATGTGCTTTCAAATGTTAATTACAATATCTATATACATAATCATCTAGAAGTGACAATTCATCAAAACTATTAACAAAATAAAATTAAAATTTAATTTTTGATATATATTTTCAATGTTTTCATATTTACTGACATTGATATTCGGATAATGCTCTATCCTAATTTAGAATATTACTTTACATCATTCAAGATAGTCTTCATACTATTATGCTCCTGAATATTTAGGGAAAAAATTACTGTACTTGGTAAAAAAAATAAATAATCGAAGTAGTAAACTAAAAACGGATCTACGTGCATTAATTTTCCTTTGGAGTTTACAGAACTAATCAAACTGAAACTAAATGATTCAAGCACCAAATGAGTGTTCGTCATGACGGAAAAACTTATTACTAATATATCACAAAAAATGGACTTAAAAGTCAGTATAAAAAATATTATAGTTTGTTAAGTACTGTTTTCACAAAATTCCTGCGAATCTTTAAAAATTCTGAGAAAAATGACTAGATCGCAAATTCAAACATGGGATGTTATGTCATGCATGGTTCTTCAAGTCTGAAAAATACTGAAATGGAGCAATGCTTTTCAGATTTTTCAAATTGACAAATTTTGCTGTCTGCACCAGGCGGATGTTCTTGTTACAATTTACAAAACCTACTGTTTCCTCTCAAAAACACTGAATTTTTTTTTCAGATTTTGGTAAATATTAACTTGACATAATCCACTAAGTCAAATCGACCACCATATCAACAATCACGATAAAAAAAATCGCAGGAATATTGTTTCGAGTATCTAAAAATCTCCTTCATGTACATCGTTTCATTGTACTGTTGTGACACGTTTTATCACTGTCCATATTTATCGAAAGCACTTGCTGAATATCACTAGCTGTAGACGTTGAAGCTTCTTCGTTGATAACGATTTGTTTGTCATGATTTATTTGATTGATAACGGCCGCTGCCTTGGCTGCTATGCAACTGACGCAGAGTTCTTGTCGCACTGGAAAAGATCCTCTCTGAGGCAGGCTGGGAGTCATCTCATCTGGAGTTGAAGCTCTGCTACTGTCGTCGTCAACAGAATTATCGAAAAACCTTGGCATCTGAAAAAAGTAATAACACAGTTAATTGAAATAATAGTATCACTGTTAACAATGAAAATCACAATGAAAAATTTACGAAACTCGAGTTATACTTGTTCGCTCCAAAGTGAGTGGATCTATTCTACCCTCCACCGCAACCCGCAAGGGTTTATTGTGGCTCACACCTATTCACACTAGACCAAATAAACCCAGCTTCTTAATGAAGCCGCTTAGTTTATGTGTTGAGTGGTCTTTCAGGTCAGATGGTAAGAGTACGGCTGAACTTTAAAAACCTGATTCGGTCCCCAGCGGGGCATCACAAAGTATGTACTCTGCTGGTTTATCAATTTCCAAACAGTGGTGAGTTTACAAACCAACAAATGAAAAATACAAGTAAACAAAAGTCAGTCAAACGATTATTTAAGAACTCAAGAATGAAAAAAGATAGGTATTTTAGTAGAACTTTCTTAATTTCATAAGTACATAAGCTTTCACGGCCGAAGTCACATTGTTTTTGAATTCAAGTGAGTTCAATTTTATCTCTTGCTTGTTCAATTTATTGAAGAGAGACAATTTTTTGTGTCACTGAGTTTCTGTAACAAGTTTCTTGATGTGATTGTGTATGCGTGATCAGAAGCCTAGATTACGTGAAAGTCTTCATTTTCACGAATATAAAAAAGCGTTGGACGAGTAATGATACCTTTTCTTAGAAAAAGTGGACTGCAATGATTTCTACATTGTTCCTAGATAATTTATACCAAGAGGTTAGGTCACACTAATATACAAAAAAATCTGTATTTGTGGATTATACATTCCACATTTTAAAAAATGAGTCTGCATTTGAGCCAAAACCAACTGAGTCGGTTTCAAAAATTCCTAACATATTATTAATCAGATGGATCTTATAGGGAGATAATAAACATGAAATAGAACGTATCTTATTTAAATGATATTTGCTGCTAGTTTCCGTAAAAGAATTGTACTCACCCACTTTTAAAATAAATACCTAAACTCTCAGTCACATTGGATTAAATCCGGTATTTGGTGTTATGTTATATGTTTTCACCATATGTAGATAATCTGCAATAAATTAAATCACGCTAATCGCAGCCTACCGAAAACTTTGAAAAAACTTATTGTATTTAATTATTTCAACAAAATCTAGCTCTCTGACTGTAGTAGTAGACTTTATTTTAGGAATCCTAATATAAAATATATAGTTATGCATATATATATGAATAATTTATATACATATATAATTTTACAGTGCGTCATGTATTACAATTTGATATATTCTAATAATAACTTTTTGAATACTTTTGAGGAATTCACATCTTTTATTTCATCAGGTAACTTATTGAAACTACCTAAACCTTTAAAGAACAATGAATTCATTCCACTCTTACAGTTTGTTCGGGATCTATAAAATGTATTACATGTTCTTGTGTTATATGAATGAATGTTACTATTTCGAATTAAATATCTGCTAAGATAGGCTGGATGTATCCCACTCGTAATTTTGAAAATAAAAATCATGCTCAACTAATACAGTCTTTTATGTACCGGCTGCCATTGTAAAGTATTCAACATTGATTCAATAGAGGTATACTGGTTGCATCTCAAAATTATTCTCATACCTCGAATTTGTAGTTTCTGCAACTGTCCCATTTGATTTTGGTTGAATAGATACATCAGTGTGGCACAGTAGTCAAAGTGTGGCCTTATTATGCAGTTGTAACATGTTAGTCGAGCAAAGATTGATAAAGATTTTGAAATTCTAGAGAAAAAATACATTTTCTTACATATCTTTCTAATGGTATATTCGGCATGCTTATTCAAATTCAATTGGTGGTCTATAATGAATCCTAGGTACTTAATTTCATTTACAATTGTGAGTTGATTATTGAATATGCTGATATTAACGTCGTTAATATCAATCTTTCTTTGATTCGAATTTATTGTAACAATTATTGCCTTAGATTTATTGATATTTAATTTGAGTTTATTCACTTGTAGATATAATTCAATGTTCTTTAAAGATATATTGAGCTTCTTTTAAACCACAGTTTTCCGTATATACAAGAGTATCATCAGCAAATAAATTAATATGGTGTGAACCAGGTACATAGTTGATATCATTTATATAAATAACACTACCCTGTGGTACACGTATGTCATTTATAATTTAATCAGACATTACATCAAAATAACTATCTAACCAGTTTAAAGCGTTTCCAGTTACACCATAATACTTCAAATTAATGATTAAAGTTTTCCTATTAATTGTTTCGAAGGCACGCTTGAAATCTAGAAATATAGCAACAATATATTCTTTCTTATCAATTCTTTCGTTCCACACTGTGACTGTTAGTTGTAACGCTGTTTCGCATGAGTGATTCTTACGAAAACCGGACTGATTTTTGATGAATACATTATTTTCATTAAAGTATGTAACTAGTTGTTCATATACTGCCAGTTCCAGTACTTTTTCTAGCGCTGGAAGACTGTTTATTGGACGAAAATTACTTGCATCACTTGTATTATTTATTTTCGGAATTGGAGTCACTGTACTAACTTTGTACTGGTTTGGAAACAGTCCTGTGTACAAGGAAGTATTTATAAAGTTCAATATTATATGCCCAGACACATCGAAAGTTTCTTTTAAGAATTTACTATTTATAATTTCACTTTTATTTACTTTATCAAGAGAAAAAACTATCTTATGTAAAGTTATCATGTTTATTTTTTTGAATTGACTCAACCTACTGTTTATGGGTTCATAGTTATTAGGTGTCCATATCTCATCACAATATATCCTATTTTCTATCTCAATTACACTGTTTACAAAATATTCATTGAAATTATGGGTAATCTCTATTGGATTATCACATATTTTTTTACCATTACTATTTTCAAACACAATTCTCTTTATATTATGAGATTCTACTGGTTTGACTAGTTATATTTTCTATCTCAATTACACTGTTTACAAAATATTCATTGAAATTATGGGCAATCTCTATTGGATTATCACATATTTTTTTACCATTACTATTTTCAAACATAACTCTCTTTATATTATGTGATTCTACTGGTTTGACTAGTTGTTTTAGACATTTCCACATCATTTTTGGATCTTTTTTATTTTCATCAATTTTATTTTCAAAATATATTTTTTCTTTTTCTTTTAGAGTATTAACATAGGTGTTTCATGAGTATTGACTGGTAAAATAAAAAAGAATAATTAGATAATCATCTACCTATTATCAGTAAATAACTCAAATGTTTGTTTTTATATAGCAGACACAGATAAAACCCCACTTTCACTTATAAAAGTACTGAAATATATGAAATTTTTAGTTGTTCATATTCTCACAGACAGAATATGACTATCAGTTATTCCATCACACTGTAACATTCAAAACCCTTTGTGCGAAGTATTAACTGTCCTTGCAGTATAACATCTTTATATTTTGCCTAGCATGAATTAGTAAATTGAAAGTGACATCGCATTGTAACCTATGGTGATTTCGCGGAAGTGTATTTGCTGGGACCAATCTCAATCACATTGTCGAAAACAAATAAATATCTCAACTACAAAGTTACGTTTGTTAGTAATAGTTTATTCAAAGTATTCACAAAGTTGTTTTAATGGAAGTAGCATTGGAGTATATGTACTTTATCAGTCATCATAGTTGGCCACTGTATCTACTTTTTACTCTACATTTGACTCATTACTTACTTGTCTATCGGACACCATGACTCTTATTTCCGGTAAAGGGCTTAACCCTCCTAAATGCCTAGGACTACTGTTTTGGCTTCCCAACGACTCCTGGCCCATATCTCCGTCTAGTTGGAGGATACTTTCCTGGCTACCGGTGAACTGCATATAAAAAACAATTTTCAATTCAAATAAAAATACTAATACCAACATATTCACAACTGATTGAACACAGCAAAGCAAAATATCAAAACGAATTTGTTTCTTTCGATAAAAATCATTTTTCTCAATATTTGAATATTGAAAAAGTTTTTTAGGATTATATGTCAGCTTTACATTTTTGTTTTGTTATGAGTACTGAAGATGCTAATCTTATTCGCCAAGTCCCACCTGAAAAAGAAGATACTCTAGTTATGAGAGCGGTGCCTTTACGAAGACGGATATGTGTGAGATTTAAATCATTGTAATAGTAGATAAGTTTATTCTATGAAAACATTGTTCCACAACGTTCTTATGAATTGTAGTTTGTGATATGTAAAATTGAACCAATAGAAAGGTCGTGACATAAAAACGCATTATTAAAATTTCCCGTCATAAAGAGCTCTTGAATAACACTATTCATTTGATAAGTGTCGTAGAGTTGAATATATTATTACTCTTATACATACTAGTGGACCTGTATTCAAGTGGATGATACAAAATTTTACTTTGGCTCTAGGAGGCCATATTGATCCGAGAATCAAACAGCATTATCATTGTCAGTGTCACTGTTTTTCTAGTTTGAAAGCCGTGGATTTTTGGAATTTCTTCCTGACGTTTCGCTGGCGCGAGTGGTTAGCTTCTTCAGAGGTTTAACCATCATGGCTTACTGTCTAAACTAACTTTTAGGCTTCGTAAAGGGTATTTATGCCTTGTCAGGTAATCAGTTGTATTTGTACCTGCACTTGTACCTGTACTTGAACCTGGAACATTAACAATCTTTCTGCCTGTCGTCATTCTGTTCGTTATTCTCGAATTCCTTAAAATGGGGTTCCATATTCGATTGAGGTTCACCGCTTCTACTTTTCTGTTGAAACTCTCCGTGTGTTTGTGGATCTCTATTGCCTCCCGTACCAGTCGGCTATAGAATCCCTGGTTATGGACAATTCGTTCTGTGTTTTCAAAGAAAATTATGCGGTCTCCTTCATTAAGCGCGTGTTCTGCCACAGCTGACTTGTCCGCTTGGCCTAGTCTGCAGTTACTTTTATGCTCTTTCAGTCTTGTTCCCACGGATCGTTTGGTGGTTCCAATATATACCTTCCCACAAGTGCACGGTATGCGATAGACCCCTGCTGCTGATAATGGGTCTCTTTTGTCTTTAGCCGACCTGAGGCTTTGTTGTATCTTCCTCGTGGGTTTGAAGACTGTTTCGATGTCGTGTTTATCCAATAGTATTCCAATTATCATGTTGAAAAACTAATTCTCTGTATGAGAAAATAATATATATCCAGATATCCCCAAACATCATCCCAAGCATGACTCAGCCTCTCCAAGGGATATGTTTTGCTGATGTCCAGATAAGATCTGAAGGATATCCCAATTTCATCATAGTTTAGGTACTATTGTAGTATGCCCCAATAGTAACATTATCACGGTATGTAGTCAGGATTTCCGAGTGTATTCATTCCTCAGGATACTGCGCAATATGGTGATATATGTTATATCTTTCCTGTGTTACACAGAACAAGATCATAACTTTTATGAGTCTACGTCAAACTGTTTCATCCCAGTGAATACTTATTCTATTTAATCGAAATAGACGACATTTGAATCAGTGCACTTTTGTCAATGAAACACAAGCAGCATACACATTTTGTGCTCGTGATTCGATGAAGTCGACGAAGCTCGTTTTTGCCTGGTCCTGATTGGAGAAGGTTCTACCGGTGAGAAAGTTATCGGTGTTTGAAAATATGGTAGTCAGTTGGCGAGATGTCTGGGGATTATAGTGGGTGAGACAGAACTTCAACTCTCATTTCTTTTAATTTTCGGAAGATGATTTGTGAAACGTGCGGACAGGCGTTGAGCAGGATCGGACCTACTCTGTTGACCAGTGCCGGCTGCTGGTGACGCAATTTTCTGTACATTTCATCAATTTCCTCACAACAGGACTCTGCTGTGATAATTTGGACCAGTTGCAGAATGTTATAGTGAATTATGCCAGCCGCTCACCATCATACAGTAACCATGGTTTTTGTTTTGGAAAGTATCTAGGTGGCTCATCGGTGTCCAACCACTGTTGGTGAGTTTAATTGATGAATTTTTCGAATTCACTTCGAAAAGTATTCAAATTTATGTTTCAAATATTGGGTTTTAATTTTTAAAGGGATTTGTTTCTAATTCACATATTGGCAACAGCACCTACATCTAGTTGAAATAATTTATACGCACCTAGATATTCTAGTTTATAAATCAACAATTGAGGCAAAATATAAATTATAGTTCAATACCACCTCCACAAGCCACATAAGCAACAGTTGTTTTGTTATTTATTTATATAGAGGAAGATAGGTTAGGTGCAGAAATTTTCATATGTCACAGAATGTCTCGGAACATAAGTAAACAGAACAGCACGCCTCTGAAATATGTCATCTTTGTTTGTCTCATACAGGTAACAGATTCATTGTCCTTTATTAGCTATAACCGATGTTGCCAAATGGTTAAATAGAAACGAATCCCTTTAAACGTTGAATGCATTATTTCATTCTTTTTTTTGAATATTTAAATAATTTTTTAAAGGAAAAAGTTGAAATAAGTTTAAAATGCGTTGTTTTAGAGTTCTTTCATGAAAACTACTTGATTTTCGTCAGGAGGAACATTTCCCATTCTCTGTCGAACAGTACCTATATACCACGACACAGTATGAATGTTTATCAAGATTTTGAACTACAAAAACACATGACATCAAAATAGATACAAAATACAAGTGTTTTGTGAAAAAAAAAAAGTTTCAAATTTCAAACAAACATGACATTTTAGAACAGATTTTATACGTTCCAATTTACAAATTCCTTACAAATAGCAGATGAGTTATGGCGGCTCGTTACGCGCGACAGACGATTTCCATCCGGTGTTGAACGAACCTCAGCTCACAGCTCATAGTGTGTCTGCAAATTGATGAGTATCGAGTTTTGTACAGCTACCAGACTGAGTAATGGCTGGTGGGAGAAATTGTATCTGCGTAAGTTTGGGCCGGTGTATGACAAAGAAAGTATTAGGTAAAAAGAAATAGAAACTTTTGTTTGCAATTTTACGTTTACGGCTCGAATAATCTAACAGACTAATAACATATTTCTACACATCTACTGCACATCTCGAGGCTTCTCACCGGCCACGGCTCAGTTCGGCAGCCATATTTATTTGATTCAAAATTGTTTTTTTGAATGTCTGATGTTTTCGGTTTTATCTCGCCTAATATGAAGGAAAATGAGTTACATAGTTTCACATCACTTTTGTTCCAGTGTGATATGGAAAATATTGTTCTTTGACAGAGTATATATACCTTATTTGAGTTGTGTTTAGGGTTCAATGGTTATTACACGTTTGATACAGTCGTTTGGTTTTTTGTTATTTTGTTTCTCGAGAGAAAAGCGGATCTGCTTCCTGGAATAACAAAGACAATTGATTGTGTAATGTGTTTATCAAAAACAGTTGAATTCAAATAATCATTTGAAATATCTGGACAACGATAGTTCCAAGTACACAAAACTATTAATAATATTATTGTAAATCATCCCCGAAAGAAAAAAGTCGGCCGCCACTGGTAACTATAAACCAAACGTGACGTAGCTAAGAGCGCGCGAATGTACGATGATTCCCGCCACACTAGAAGCAGTAAGAATAATGCTACCGATTTCGACGGAACTTCGGCGAAATTTCTACGGCATTCGATTACATTTTTAAAGGATATGAGGATATCGAGATAGTCAAGTGGACGTTACAGTGCGGTACGCGAAGTGATTTAGTAAGGCGATAGACATTCAAATAATAGTTGAAGTTTTAGTTGAAGTGTTTGTTGTATTTAAAGTAAACAAAGTTAAGTTTGATCATTCAGTGTAGTTTCATTATTGGTCAACTCACGGGCAAAAACGTAACAATATTATTTACGGAAAACATTAAATGAACCTAAGGGTGTGTAAAATAGGTATTGTCTGTGCTAGAGAATAATATTGACCACAATTCACTGGAACAAAAAAGATACCAAACTAACATCTCCATTTAGAAGTGCGGAAAATAGTTCGGGAATCATGAGATATTGAAAAAAATTTAATGACATCCCAGACGTTCTGTAATATTCTCCCTGTTTTTTCATCTCTCATAAAGTTTATCCTTTGTGGTATCCATGGGATATCAAATGTTAAAATAAAATAATCCCCGGCATGATCTAACAAGATCTGTGTTTTATCTTGTTGTCATGTATAGGATGTCCTAAGGCTTGCAAAATTTGTTCCCTAATATGTCCCCAATCCCCGTTTCATCCTAGTGACATTCGCAAGACATTCTGGGAAAGTCCTAGGAACTCAGGAAACGATAAAATTTTCGTTTCCCACTAATTCAATTGGGATACCCACCGACATGCTTTGGATGATTTAACGTTGTCCCTTGTTGGTCCCAAAATGGTGATCATGCTATTTGGATCTTGACTTACGGAGGTTTCTTGGTGCAATCTCTTTGGAATTTCACAAATAAAATGACATGAGATTGTGGTCCGTATAATCCATAAACTTTTTAATAAATTGTTTTGAAACCATACTTTGTATTCCTATTGGGAACACAACATCTTATTATGTAAACCTATATTTCAGACAGCAACTGTCAAGTGGATATTTATAGCTCTTCAAGGCACAACACTAACAGCATACTATTCTAAAAGCTGAATTTGAGTTACAGTGGGGTCTTTCACATCAATAAACAGTTGTGTCTCATAATCTCACAGTACCTTGATTACAAAAATTTAATAACAGTGTCGTTGTCCAAAGTTGATAACAAAAATTTCATTGAATACACCTTGCAGAGACTTGCGAAACCGTAATCTCTTTGCAGCCCCATTTAGAAAAACCAATTCGGGTAAAAACTCTCCTTTATGCAGAATTGTCAGATCCTTCAATACTTATTACAATGATATTGAAAAACTAAGATTATTTTTCCTTAGACTATGTGAAATCTATTTTTATTTATAATTATTATAAAATTATTTAACTGTCCCCTAGGGGTAATAGCTACCCCTGTGAAAATTTTAAATGAAAAGGAGTACTTTTTGATTTTTGGATTTTGATACTCCAAAAAAGGCAATTTTATTTTATACAAACAAATCAATCCTATAAAGCTGAATGTATAATTGAAAAGTTTAAAAGCGGTATCATACGCTACCCTTTTTCATTAAAATTTTTCACAGGGGTAGTTATTACCCCTAGGGGATTGAAGGGTAAGTTGATTAAATTTAATGAGAAAGTGTATTTCCTTACACAAAAATTGACCTGTTTCATGATTTTTCATTTTACATAGAAAACGAATTTATATGTTACTTTGGGACCTCATCCGTACATTATGTGAGACTGAATTTATATACAATATATTTCAATGAAAATGTGTCAGTTGGCATTCTTTTAAAATATATTTTCATAGTCTGCGCTATATAATTCTCTACATAATTTTTTTTATAAAAACGAGATGAAGTTTGTTACTCCCAGACAAGATTTCAAGTAGTCTGGCAGAAAAATGTCTCCCGAAGACTAACATCTACACGTTGTAAGGTAATTTGAAATCTTTTTTTCTTTGGTATTTTTCCATCATTTTTCTTGATTATTTTATTTCACTTTATTTTCATTTCAGTTTATTGTTTGTATACAAATGACATTTCAGTTATTGCTCAACCCATTTCAGGCCACAATAATTTGTTTTCTTTTACAAATTAGCATTCTCACATTTTCTGCTATTCATTTGACATTATTTAACCGAATATTTCGGTTAAATAATTTCAATTCACTTTCAACATTCAATGCAATTTTATTTCGAGATATTTTGAACCCGTTAACACAATTTCCAACAAAGGTAGTGCGAATATTCGAAAATATCTGGTTGAAAATGGATTCAACGACCTACGAGTCTAGAGCCGGTGTACACATCCACAATAGATGTCTTCTAAGTGAAATATTTTTTTCATGTTCCATATTTCTTTCACCAATACTATAGTCTATTTCAAAAGAGTGTAGAGTAATAAAATCTCATCAAGTATTCAAAAGCCTTTGACAGAGTATATAT